TTATTCACTTCATTTTCATTATAGTGGAATTTTGTTAAAATGAAGAATAAAGAAAGTCTTTACTGATGGAACATAGAAGATTAAGCATTAAAAAATAGTGGCAAATAGCATAATTGTTATGGGAAAGCATTAGCCACAAAAGTGGCTTTTAAAGTAGTATATGGTAGGGGAAATAAGATACTGTTGACAGAAATCAAACTATAGTGTCTACCTCTGTGACAAAGGAAGGGACTTTTCAAGCACCTCAACTAATACCAGTTGGTAAGGTCATCTCCCATCTTCCACAAGGGTCCTGCTTCCACCACCTTGATTACTGTAAATCTGCCTAGGTCCTGTCGCAGTACAGGAATTCATAAGACATCACAAATTAACCTCTTCTACTTTACACACCAAGCTCATATTCTTTCCAAGAATGTACTTTATGAAAGGGGTCATCTAACTTTTTAGAACTCACAGATATTTCAGAAGAGCATGTATTTGATGATTCCCATGATGTAACGGAATAGAAGTCAAGTGTGTAGGCTTTCAAAATGGAGCTTCAGGAGTTGGGCTGGTAAGTGGTTTTATTTTACCAAGTATCTAAGACAATAATAAAAAACATTTGGCCATATAACCATCACTCTCACATCCAGCCCTACACAGACATCAGGCATAAATAAGTATTCAGATCCATGCAGTCATTAATAATTGTGTTTTCACACAATATAAATACCGTTTACCATTCAGGCCTAGGAGAAGAGATAGAATAGAGTAGTAAAAGAAACAATCAGCAGGTTGGATAGAAAATACTTCGATATTCTGGAACTATGGGCCTAAGATCAAAGGAAGGGATTTTGGGAACACATGCCAATTCTCGATTGTTTTAAAGAAGAATAAAATAAACTAAGCAAGATAGACTTCATAAGTACAAAAAATAAAATTGCTATTGAGTCGATTCCAACTCATAGTGATCCCTTGCGTATAAAGTAGAACTGTACTTTATAAGGTTTTCAAGTCTATGACCTTTCAGAAGCAGATTGACAGGCCTTTCTTCTGAGGCAACTCTGTGTAGGTTCAAAAGGCCAATCTTTAGTTAGTAGTTGAGCGCTTAACCATTTGTGCCACCCAAGGACTCCATTTATAAGTATAGGGTTGTACATATATAACATATTTTTTTTAGTCATAGCAACCCTACGGGACAGAGTAGAACTGCCCCATAGGGCTTCCAAGGAGTGCCTGGTAGATTTGAACTGCTGAACTTTTGGTTAGCACCCGTAGCTCTTAACCACTATG